AGAGAAGAGACAAGATGATTCTCTGCATGCAAAATTAGCCAAAGGAAAGGAAGATAAAGAGCTAATTGATGAGAATAGCATACTGGATGATTCAGGATCAATCGCTAGCCCCTTGGTATCAGCAGTTGCTGCATTTAAGAGTATGGATCAAACTGAACTATTGGATAAACCAGCAAGTACTGAGTCTCATGGTAAGTAATAATGCACTCCTATAAGCACTGTGTTGTGTCTATTTATATTACTAGAAGTACACTCCACTGGTATGAAAGAGGCTACAAATTATGCTGGTCTGATATATTATGAGGAGAAGCATGCAGAGGATCTGGTGACATTTATTGCAGCTAAAAAATTGGATGCTCTTCTCCAGGTAAGAATGACTGCTATATACATTACTCTCTGCCTTGAAATGTGTAGTTCATTGAAGGAAAACATTCTAAAGCTGAAATGGGACCTAATGTTTACTTTCGTATTGCATCTCCTTTTATTGAATTAAATTTAAATGCTCCACAGAAGAAGTCATTTAAAGGATGGACTATTGAACCTCACACAGAACCTTGCAAAGTAAAATTATTAAAATTATAATCAAATTATTTTCCATAATATATAGTTGTTTCAAAGGGACATTTTTAATTTTGGTGACAAAGATTATTCTCTTCCTCCATCATGTCTCATATCAGTCTATTCATCACCTGATGCTGTTCCTACATTACACTACTCTGTACCAGTAGAGGGTGTGGCTGATCCTGTTACACTAAATATTCACAGATCACGAAGAACAGCTCATCTTACTGCAGGTAATGTTATGCTTGTCATTATTTATGCATAAAATAATACATTATGTCTATTATAGTTGCTGCTAGTGGCAGTGATGAAGCTACCCCAGCACCAACTAAAATAGGAAGAGAAGGAGGTACATGTACATAACACATCTATAATTTTTATAATTATTGTCTGTTTTTATTAAAGGTATTGACATTAAAACAGCTCGTCAAAAGATTAAGGAAGTTATGAATAAGAATCATTCAAATTATGCAGACATTTTGGAGAGTTCTCTTAACGAAATTGCTAACAAACTATTTGAAGCTGGAATTATTACCAGGCAGGTTCAGAAGTCACCAACTTATGAAAGCATAACCTCAAGTTTTCTATCTGTGATGAATCTATTGGACTCTAAGTCTGACCTAGAGAAGCATTGTATGAAGTATCTAGAGGCTTTATTTAGTATTGGGGGACCAATAGAATTTGTTGCTAATCACTTGCGGGAAAAATGGACAGCAGCTCTGGAGGGAGCACTTCAGTTTGAACATGAGAGCAATTAGAGAATAATGATGATAATATACACTATTAAATTTTATCTTCAGCTTTTAATTATTTTTGTTAAGCTTAATAATGTTAGTTTTTAACATGCATAATAGAGTACTATAGTTTTAAATTTTCAAAGTTATTTTACTAGCCTCAATGACTACGTACTTGTAGACTAAAAATTATGCTTATGCTTTACGTTATTTGTGCCTATAACATTGTTTTTATTGTTGTGTAAATTTGAGGTGTTCAGAATCGTATTCATAATTTCTTAGAAATGGGAGTAGTAGATGTTCTGTAATCAAACTGTAGGTGGAACTTGGAAGGGGAGTGACATTGTCAAGTTGAGTTTCTGAGAGAAAAGAGATGGCATCTAGGTAAGTCATATAGGCATTAGGCAGGATATTAGACAATACATAACATTATGTCACTGACTGTGAGATTAGTGCTTTTTAGATCTTATCATTATATAGACTGAACACTTTCTTTTGTTAAGTGTTCTTTTGTTTCAGTGATTTTCAGTTGGATGAATCAATTGATGCTGCTAGTACCCCTAGTGATCAGGATACCTGCTTTGTTATTGGTGATCAAGATTACACTTACCAGGATAAAACCCAATTTGATGATGCCTTTGATGACATAGCCATTGCACTTGAAATTGAACCATTTGGTAGGTTATGTACATATTTTAGTCTTTTGTTCTGTATTTTGGACTGCATGGGACTTAAAGTAGTCATGTTGTTTTTTCCTTATTCAAAAATAATCTAGTTTAGTTTATGTTTATCAAAATTTGATATCATTTTAGCATTCAAACTTTCAAAGCAATTATAAATTCACATCACGTGTATCTTTATTTGATAGATAAAAAAATCTCTCTGGACGTATTTTGGGATATCATTCTCAATGAAAAGGTTCCAGTGACAACAAGTCTTGTAGCAGTCATGGGCTTACCTAGCTCTGGAAAGACTACAGTTTTAGAGTCTGTTCTTAAACACAAGATAAAATTAAAACCTAAGGCAAAGTTAGAATTTGATCAATACCTCAAAAGAAAAAAAAATAAGGAATCTCTGTCAATATATGAGCTGTGTGCTCTTGGCAGTTCACAACACGACAAGTACGCCTGGTCCTTTGCCACCAATCGCTATGGGGCAATATTTTCAATTCTTTGCAATATAATTCGTCAAAACCCATGTGTGGCAGATATTAAGTTTGAAATGGGTAGTCGATCACAAGATTCTGGAGGAATGGATAAGCATGTGCGATGGTTAATGGGCAGGGCACAATATGTACTGGAGAAAATCAAAGACGAACCTGGCAAACTGGCCTTACTCCAAGATGGTCTCTCTTTTATTAATGTAATCGATGTTGGTGTCAATAAAGCTCTTTATGATTTCTTATCAATTATGTTGCTGTCCTGCCACCGACACATTCGTCTTGCTTTCTTCTCACTGGATAGAGATGCTCTTAATCTTGATGAGAAACCTGAACTACCTTCTGATTTTTATGGAAAGCGAAAAGATGATGTTTTGGTTATGCAGCAAAGGTCTCGACTCACATATCTCCTCCATTTTGCTACAGTTGGTTACACTCAGCAACAGCGCAATGAAGAAGAAGCACTAAATGCTACTGTTATGGTAGCTACAAGAAAGGAATCAGCTACCAATTCTGATATAAGTAAAGCCAAAGAAGAGATTATGAAACAAGCGAAATCTCAAGACGTAGACCAGTTCCTACAACACTGGCTACAAGTTGATGTAGATGATGACAATTCTATTGCTAAGGAGTTTGGAGAGAAGATGGAAGGCCTTATTAAAAGCAAATACAAGCAAGGCACAATACAAATTCCTCTTCGATGGATAGTTTTTCGAAGCCTTGTTATATCTCTTGATAGCAAAGGATCAAAAGTTATGATCCTACAAAAGAGTTTTATTGTAGCTATGGCAAAGGAGCTGAAAATGTTAGAAGATGATGTTGAAAATTTTTTAAAAACATTCACTGACTTTGGTAGCATCCTCTACATGCCTCAGTATGACAGTATTAAAGATATTGTGATTGTCAATATTTGGGAGTTCACTCAGTACCTGAACAAGCTTTATTATCCTCAGGAAAGAGAACCGTATGCTACCAATTTGAGAAAGTATGGAATCATATCAGAATCATCTGTCAAAAAAATTTTTTGCAAACATCCTGAGAGTGCTGAAAATTTCATGAAGGTTCTTACGACTATTGCAATGGCCTCTAAAATTGAAAGTGGCCAGTCTATCCTCATTGACAATCAGCAGCAACCTGATGAGGTACACTATTATTTACCATTAGCAAGAATGCATGAAGAATATACACCATCAGAAGAAGAGAATGATTATGCTTTCATTGAGATAGAGAGTGTCAACTTCCCAGCCAATGTACAAGCTTGCATTAGCTATGCCATTATGGATAACAACAAAGATGCTGTTCTTATTGCTACAGACTACAGCAACATCTCACGATTTCTATTCCAATCTAAAAGTGGTCCTCCTATTGAAATAGCGATGATATACAAAGGAAGCAAGACAAGATTAAGAATAATGAACAGCTCCAATGACATACTCACATCTCCAGCAGCAGTTGAAGCATGCAAAAAAGTAATCACTGCTTCATGTCGATGTCTTCAAAGGAAAATTAATACGATGCGTGACCTCAAATATAGTTTTGCTGTTCCCTGCTGTGAGTCTCCTAGTGAAAAATGTCACTATCTGTACTACAATTGTGAGTCTCAACTTTGTGATGATTGTTCAGCTGAAAATAATGTCAGATTATGCTGGAGCAAAGCAGCAAGTAAGGTAATTAACAACACCAGAATTAGATCTATACACTCATTTTTCATTAACCTTAATATTCATACTTTGTTAATTTATGTAGTGTGACAAATTAAAGAAAGACGATGAAGCAAGATTAAAAGAAACTTGTCATACAGATATTCCACTTACATTACAAGACATTGCTGGTCTCGTTACTGATGAGTATGATTTTGATGCCTTGAAAGAAGCATTTAACATCAAAGATGTTTTGCTTCCTTATCCAGAAGATAGTGAGCGCAAAAAGAAGGCAATGATGCTGATGCTCCTACATTGGGAAAATCAGCAGGCAAAAACACCAACTAAGCATGCACTAAAAACTATATTAGAGGATAGGGGGTTTGTTCATATTGCCAAAAAACTGAATACTGAAATAAAGTGATGTATATTAACTCAAATAATTACAATACCATATCTATACTGTTATACTATATCTATACTGTTTCTACATTATTGCTAGACTATGTGTTGGATTAATTTTAATAGTAATTATTGATAGATAGACTTGTTATTATTTTTATTGATAGATAGACTTGTTATTATTTTTATTGATAAATAGACTTGTTATTACTTTAAACCATTCATGAATAATTCTGTTTGATGTTAATGATACCGTATAGTGGGAAATTTTGGAGGGAATTAAATTTGGCGAATTTGGCGTTTTGATAGCCATTCGCCAAAATTAAACCAGCCATTTTGAGCCATTATACGCATGCTCAATGCATGTGGCCACCAATTCGCCAAATTAAAATCCGCCAATCACCAAAATTTAGCAATTCGCCAAATTTTAGTCCCTCCAAAATTTTCCGCTATACGGTATGAGTGCTATGGAGAATACCAATTGTCATAACTATGTCTTCATGAATATGTTTAAACAGATAAACACCTTAAGAATATTAAAAAAGTTGAGTAAGCTGTAAAATACTCCTTTGAGCCCCGCCTATGTAGACAGCCACGCCTTGTCGCAACATAACAAGGTGACCTTTTACTAGCTTTTACTCCGTGCAAAATAATAATGGTTTTATTTATAGCATAAAAGCTGAGCCTGTATCTGGAGACAGCATACATGTAGATGTTGTTGACAGTGTCCGGGCACCAACAGGACAAGATCACAAACATGAAGCTGATTCTGATCCTCTCTCCTATTAACAAAACCCCTCGCAGAATCCCACTCCATTTGATGCCAATGCTGGAATAGGAGCCAGACAATCCGATGCTGATCTCTGTACTGGCTATGAGAGTTTTGATTATGAAACTAAGAGCTTTTGTGGTACTTTGGTTGAGGATATTATCATATCACTTGACGTACACTCACAAGATGCAGAAAGTAAGTTTGAAACAACTTATGATTGTTTTGTGAGTATAAAATTGTTCTCCCCCTTTTTGTGTTAATCGTAAAACTGTAATCAATTTTGTGTCTCATTTTTAAACTTGACTTGGTTCCAAAATGCATGTAAATCATTTTATCCAATATTCCATTGTTATAGTAATCACTCAAAGAAAGTTTTGGAATGTCATCCTTCATCAGAAAATTCCAGTGACCACATGCCTAGTAGCCTTCATGGGTCTACCTTGCACTGGAAAGACGATAGCCATAGAGGGGATGCTTAAAGAGTTTATAAAGCTAAAAGAAGTGTCAACATTTAGCTTTGATGACTACATGAAAAGAAAAAGAAACAACGAGTGTCTCTCAATCTACGAGTTGTGCGTGCTTGGTGGCTTGCCACATGACGAGTATGCATGGTCCTTTGCCACTAATCGCTATGGTGCAATCAATTCGATCATTTGCTCTCTTGCATGTCAGTATTCTTCAATTACTGAAGCTGTTTTTGAGTTAACTAAGAAAAAGCCAGAATCATTCGTTGATAAGCACGTTCAATGGCTGATGGAGGAGGTCAGCAATCACTTGGGAAAGATCAAAGAGGAAAGAATGAAGCTGTCACTCATTCAAGATGGTATCTCGCTCATTAATGTCATGGATGTTGGGGTCAATAAAGCTATTTATGATTTTCTGTCGATAATGTTATTGTCCTGCAAGAGACATTTTCGTGTTGCTTTCTTCTCATTGGATAGAGATGCTCCTCACCTTAATGAGGTACCTGATTTATCTCATAGCCGTTATGACAAGTGTAATGATAGCAAAATAGTTATGAGAGAAAGGTCTCGACTTTCATATCTCCTCCATTTTGGTACTCTTGGTTACAAGAAAGATGATCCTGACGCCATTGATGCATGCAACACAGTAATGGTTGCTACAAAAGAAGAAAGCACCGGCTCTGATGCTGTCACTGCACCTGAAGAAAACTCTGTAAAAGAAGCAAAGCAAGCAATATTAAAGGAAGCAGAGAATGAAGGTGTTGATAGTTCCTGAAGGAATGGGAGCTTGTTAATTTGAGGGATACAGGTACCTTAAAGAGCCTTGGTAAGACTCTTCAAGATATCATTAAAAAGGTCAACCAGTACAAACTTGACCTTCCTCTTTGTTGGATCATATTGCGTAGTCTTGTTTCGTCACTAAACCCACAATCTTCCCATCAGCCAAATTCAAAAGCTATTATTATGCATAAAGATTTTATAATCAGAGAAGCCGCTCATCTGAATATGAATCTAAAAGATGTGGAAGATTTTCTCGCCTTCACTGAGTTTGGTAGCATTCTATACATGCCTCAATTTGAAGATATCAAGCATCTGGTCATTGTCGATATTTATGGATTCACTCAGTTCACAGATTGTTCTATCCTCCTAATCCTGAGGCACCATATGTCAAGCATCTATTGAAGTATGGTATCATTTCACTCCAGTCTATTCAGGCATTGTTAGGCATTGATGTTGTGAACAGTTTAATGGAAATACTGACATCATTTGTAATGATTGCTAAAATAAAGAGTGAGAAATCTATTCTCATTGATGATGCACCCCTTGAGCCTGGTGTGTACTACTATATTCCTTCAGCTAAAAGTGGTGATAACTACCCCCTCTCAGAGAATGATGATAAATGTGCTTTCCTTGAAGTAGCGAGCGTTAATTTTCTGGCCAACTTTCAAGCATGCATCAGTCAAGGAGTAATGAAGGAGAATGACGATGTTCTTCTTTGTCCCATTCAATATTCAAACATCTCACAATTCGAGTTTAAATCTAAGGGCAATACTCCTGGTGTTCGAATCGATCTGATTTACGAAGGACAGAAATCCAGGCTCGTAGTACGACACGATATTAACGCCTCCACATTTGAGTCTGTAGTTGATGCGTGTACAAAAGTTCTTTATGCTTTCTGTCACTGCTTGGGTAGAAGAGCTAATACAATTCGAGACTTGAGACATGAAGTTACAATTCCATGCGGTCTTGAGGATAAACGACACACACTCTACTGCAATAAAGAGCTTGAGGAATGTAGCTGTCTGGAGGCAATCGATCAAAATAGCTTTAGATCATGTTGGGTTGGAGCAGCGAAAAAGGTAGATATACAATGTACTATACCATTATATGTTTATAATTGATATTTTTTGCTTTTAGTGTAGAGAATTGAAGCACAGTGCTGATAAAATAGCTGATAAAGGTAATCAAAATTTTCCTGTATCAAAAATGGCCAAAATTGACTATGAGAAAATTCTCCATTTTATACCGTATACGTTCAAATTTTCAAGGGTTCAATATTTCGTGTTTTCAAATGAAATTTGCTCAAAAGTTAATATTCATGTGAGCTAATTTTCGTGTTCTGGCCATAGTCTACATACAATAGAATGGCATTAGAGGTGGTTTAAATTTTGTGGATTTAAGGTGAGCACGAAAATAACAAAATTTAATACACCTTAAAAATTAAGACGCGTATGGTAATTTTTTCTGATACATATACATGTTCTAATGTTGTGTAGAAAGTTTGAGCTGATTCCGATTACAATTGAATTTTTAATGAATTTTTAAAGGTACTAAAAATC